TTAAATTCTTTTATATTATTCTTATATTTATAAAATCACATAAATGATTCATACTATAATTATCAAAAATCTGTTTCCGTATAAATAAATATGATTTAAAGTATTGAATTATTCATATTATTATTACAATTTTTTTTCGATTATAAGATTTCTACTAACTGTACTGTTTGCGCCAACAATACTATTGTAGTGGATTGTTAAATATATAAAATGTATGTCGAATGTTCTTTCGAAGTATGTATGAAGAAGCTTGCAATTATCGATGTATTTTCTTCACGATGAATGGACTGCATTAATACGGTTGTAAATATAGTACATATGTCTATAAGAAAATTGGTTTTACAATATTACAGTAGATGATTATATCCGATGCATTGATCAAATTATGATGCGTAATTACAACAAAACTACCTATTATCGTAGCCAATGGTCAAACTGGACATGTTCATAATGAGCGATAATTAGATTCTCTTTCAAGCCATAATAAGTAATCGTGTCTGACGGTTAGAGCACGATGTGTTGTTACAAATTATTTATTTGCTATCTACTTATATCTGCTAGTCAGAATATGATCTATTCACAATGAGAATTCTATTTTAAGTTTTGAGACTCTATTTGAAATTCGTGTCCTCAGGAAATCTCTTCTTAGTTCAATTGGGAAGATCTCAGTTCTCGGTGAGATACAACAATAACTAATAACATCCCGATTAATGCCTGATTCACTCCAAAATTAGAGGAAAATTCCTCGAACTAGAATGATGTTGGTTGCTATTAAGCCATATCTGGAGTATCATCCTTGGAATTAAGTTTTGCTCGCTAAAATATATCAAAAATATACAATTTTAAATGTAATTTTCGACTAAATTTTTAAAAACGAGCCTTAAATAACATAATTCTTTGTTTATTTGTTGTTTGTAGGCATAATAGAGATCTGCGATAATAACAAAAAAGGATTTCTATGAGGAATTTTTCCGAATAAGTTTATAAATTTTGTTTATAAATCTCGCGAACAATAACTGCTTGAAGATCTTGTCTTATATTTTGTCCTATAAAATCATACTTATTCTTTTATTCAACATCCGTAATAAACTCAAAAGATTTAGTGAAATATGAATATTATATTAATGATATTATTGTAATTTTTCTTTTAATTCTTCAAATATTTTTGATTTATCTATTAAAACTCTTAGTCTTTTACATTTTTTACATCTTTTTTTTGATAATTTTTATAATTTCGAAGGAGTGTTTAATTTAGTAATCTGCTTACTTGTGAAAATAATTGCTCATCTTTTACTTTTTTTATGAATAATAAATAAGAATAATAAATAAGAAAATTTTTTGCTAAACTTTATGCTGTCTTTATGCTGTCTTTATGCTGATTTTATGCTATCTTTTATTATAATATGACCTAAGTATATTGTTACTTTTCATAAAAATTTATATTTATTTATTTGTAATTTTAATCTTTTTTTTTGACATAATAAAATATTTTTTACAATTTTTTTACAAAACAAAACATTTTAATATTATTTTTATACTATTCAATTATTCAATATTTATTCAATTATTCAATTATTTTTATATTATTCAATTTAATTAGAATTATATTATCGTCTTTTGAAAAATGCATAAAGCATTAAAGATTAAATGGCATTTAAATGCACTCATAATAGCAGTGCTAAAAATAGTTTTTCCTTTATTTCATTTATGAATTTCAATTTAATAAAATTAGATACGAGATCTAAAATTGTAAAATATTGTACATCTAAAATGTCAGTAATATTTGAAATAAGATGTAAATTATTTATTATCACATCATTTAATCTGAAAATTTATTATTGTATTAATCATAATCATCTTTAGATCTGTCTTTTTAAAACTATAAGTCACTATTCTTATTTTCTATTAGACAATTGATATATATTTCTAATTGTAATATATATTTCTAATTGTGTTTCTTTGCAATAATCTAAGCTACATAATCTTAATCTAAACTATAGTTTAGATATAGATAATATATTATGATAATATATTATGATATATATATTACTAAACTATATGCTAATATCAATATACAATCTCTGATTTTGGTTCTATATATTAATTTTTTTTTCGTGGCTACGAAATTAATGGCATTTAGATGTATTTCATATCTTTATTATCCGAATATCCTAATATACGGACGTTTTATTATACGTATGTTCTGTTATTAGCACAATGTTTCGCAGCGATGTTTACATACAATATACTTAGATTATAATATAAATATAACATATTTAGATGTAATAAATACTTTCCTATGTTCGGCCAGTTAAATGTAATTATATTCAATTCAGTCTGAAGCAGAAAACAATATCACAATGGCAAGTAAACGAAACGTCTTTTTAATAACTATTAAAAAGAAATATATATAAAATAATAAAGATCTTGAAAATGGTGAAAGTGTAACGAAATTAGCAAGAAAACATGATATTGGGAAATCTACAATTTACAGATATTAAAAAACAGAAACGCAATATTGAAAATTATATACAGAATGTAGACTCGGTAATTTAGGATGTAGATTAAGGCGCAATGGGAATGTAATTCTACGTAGTTACTTACAATAAAAAATTTATGTGACTTAGTGGCTAAAAAGATATGGGATCTTTAGATGTTGAAAGAAATTGTCAATTTTGTTCATTTTTATTTGAATAAATGAAGTTTAATGTAAAAGAAAATAATTCTATTCTATTCTATTATATATAGTTCTATTATCCGAAAATTCCACTTTTGTCTCCCTATTAGTTCAGATACGAAAATTACTACTATAATAAGTATAAAATTCTTATATAAGTCAATTGTCGATCTATATATCCAATTTTTCTCAAGAAAATATCGCATTCTGAATATACATCATTATGTAATTTACTAATTTTTAATCTAACTAAAATTTAATGTTTATCAATATTTGTATTTACTTGAATTTACTTTATTTATGTATTTCTTTGATTTCTATTTCAACTACATTTTTTGATCTAAAAAATTTCTTCTATTATATTTATTCTAGGATATCTTATTCTAATTTCATTGCATTTGTTATTAGTATTTTTCGTTTTTAATTTTAATTCATGGCATTAATCTGTTGTCTATAATTCTTATAAAAAGTCATATATTATCTGTCTTTTTGTCTCGTCTTATCATCTGTTATTTCTCTATTATCATCTCTAAAAAAATTTAGATTATTTATTCATATTTGTTCTTTTATAATAATTGCAAATTATAATAATTATCTAAAAAAAAATTTTTTTACCAGTTTTGATAATTTTTGAATATGTTATAGAGATCAATATTTTAAATAATTTTTTCTTATGCATAATCGTATAATTTAATTTATGTACATAATTGTTACTTAGCTTTAGTTTTCGAAATTTATAAAAAAATATTGTTATTATTACATAGAATTTCTTTTATATATTTTTTACGTATATGATATATGTTCTCAGTTGTATGAGCGTAAGTTATTTATCTTTTATATAAACATATAGCGATAGGAAATTATGACGTATAACAAATGAATCAGTTAAAAATTAAAAATCGATTCCTCATAAAATGTAAAATTTTTACAATAAAATATAAAACAATACTTAGACGACCAAAACAATCACAGAAGTTAGATATCAAAAGATGATGTATTCATTATAAATTATAATTCAATCATTATAATTTCAATGTAAAGATTGTTTTATATTTTATATTCCATGGATTCAAACGATCTATAGAATGTTCAAATTCAATTGGATCAATGTCTTCCGCTGCGATATATTTATAAAATCTGTTCACGAGAACTTATTACTCGCAAGATTTATAAACAGTTTATTCGAAGAAATTTTTCATATAAAAAATTTTTTTGTTCTTATCGTGCGCGAGCCTCTATTAAATCTAAATAAATATAAATAAACATATTATTTTAAATCCGTTTTGTCTCTCGTGCAAATTCATGCAGCTTTTATTTATCACTTTCGTTTTAACACACTTGATTTTATTAAATCGATACTAAATATTTTCTATATTTTGTGTTACAACGCTTTCTTATGTTTCCTCAAACAATAATATTTCCTCACTTCTATATCCTTTTGCGATTTTTTCATGTAATTTTGCTACTTTTATAGCTAAGAAATTATATAGATAAGAAAAAATTAAATTATATAGATAAGAAATTAGCTAGTTTTATAGCTAATTTTTTCATAAAAAGTAAAAATCAAAATTTTATTACTTTACAACATAAGTTCTCTAAAGTACAATGAAAAATAAATGATAGAATATTAGGTGAGACAAAATAAATCGCATTAATTTTTGTTTTAAAATATTCTAAATATTATAATATTTAAACAACGAAAAGAAAATTGTATCAGTAATATAGAGAATAAGGCACGAAATATAATTATAAAAATTGATATGTTGATATCATTAATTATGTAGTACGAGGTAGTTAATTAATGCTGTGATACATATTGAACTTAAACTCATTCTCTAATTATTTATACTTTACTGTACAAAACAAAGTTATTTAAAAAAATATAATTATCGTTCCTTGTTTCAAATTGAAACACTGGTCATATACAATCATAATACAATTCTATCCATTTAACTATAACATACAAAATCACAATGAGTACTTTCGAAAACAATTTAATCTATTTCCAAACTTTAATCAATGATCTTTGGATCACAAAAAATCGCAAAATTTTAAATAAGATTAATTTTAAAGTATTTAATTTCTTTTTGTACTCTATAGTATGTAATAAAAAATAAAAATAAAATAGTTAATAGTTAAAGTTATTAAATATATATTTATAAAATAAACTTAGGAAATGAAATATCTTCTATAGTGTAGAGTAAAAAAAATAAATATTAAAAAAATTAAATTAAATACTTTAAAATTAAATAAGTTATTGTAATTCAATGATATCATTCAAGAATTGAAAATCCATACAATATTCAATCAATAAAAAATCACATTTTCAAATAAAATTCATGCTATTGTTTTTTTATATTACATGATGATTAAGTATGATTAGTGATACATTCTATAACGATTACCAATCAACGCTTTTTTTTTAACATTGTAGTGATATTTTTTTCTTATTTATAACTCTTTTCTCTTTCATTCATTCTTGTGAATTATATATGATACATTCTATATTAATTATCATCAAAATAACAGTCAGTTTTTTGTTTCATATTTTTTACAGAAAATTCATTGAATAGTCTATATATCATATTTTATTTATTATAAATCTAGATTTCCTCGTTCAAGACATAAACAAGTAACACTATTTATAACAATATTCATAATATGCTAAGTTTTTTTTGTCTTTTTCATACAATGTGCAATTTGTCATAGAAATATCTGATCATTTCAATGTAATTTTGTAAAAAATGAATATTTTTAAATATTTTTTCTATTATTAGATAATATAATATATCTATATTATATTATATTAAAAAATAATAAAAATAATATATTCACATGACTTCATCAATTAAAGAATTATATGCAAATTTTTAATGTTCAGGAAATTTAAAATTTTGTTTGTTTAATAATCTGTCAAATATAAGTTCATTTAGTAAATTCACTTCAAAATATTTTATCATTTACAATAGACATAGAATAATAATAGAATAAATAAAATATATTTTATAATGAAATAATAAAATTTCGGACTATTTTAATTTTTATTCTATTATTTAATAATAATATTTATTTTTTAATAAGATTTCAAATTATTTTAGTTTCAGAAATATATTATTTCAATATGGCTATATTTTATGGCCATTATATTAATTATATATCATTACACAATTCGATCGTAATAGCCAATTTCTCCAATCTTTTATTCCTTTACGAGAAAGATCTTTATAAATAGATTATTATTCCATATAAAAGATATTGTGTTGCATTAGATATTGATGCAATTCTAATATAGATAATAATATAATCAACATAGAAATCGATAACTACAACTTTTTCACGATTTTGAGATTTGTTATTCTATTTACAAAATTTAAAAATTCTAATTGAATCATTGATTCAAAAACAAATCACAGATAACAAGTATTTTTTTCTAAATCCGAACGCAAACAATATATTAAATAAAGGATTCCAAATATAATGAATATAATGTATAGATTTTTTTATATGATTCATTTAAAAAAATTTACTACGCTAATAAATAATATTATTATTAACAATAATCTAGAGAATTTCAATGTAGATGTCATGATCTATTAGTATTGTAGAATGTATATGTATCTACATATGTATACGTACATTTAAAAAACTAATAACGATTTATACAACAAACTAATCTAATTATTACGTACTAAACGCTTTAATGATTGAAGTTATACTCTCATACGTCCCAGTAATGAAACCAAGAAAACCGATCAAAACTATCAGGATATCTTTCAATATTGTACAGATGCCCAAGGATGCATTTTGCCAGCATACAACCATTTCAATGATTGGTGGGAATATCAATGCTAGAGCAGTACTACTAACTGCGCCGACTAGTGATATGAACAAACCCAGTTGAGGTATCGCTTCAGCTAGAATAACTGTAACATAATATTTTTATAAAATTTATATTAAATTACAATAAAAATATTTTTATATAATTATTTTCAATTTATATTATCTTTCATAAAATTAATATAAATTTATTTATTTATCTAATTTGATAATTAGATAAAAAGATAATTAAAATATTTTTATTACATTTAAATGAAAAAATATAGAAAAGAATTAGAAAATTAGAAAATTAGAAAAGACTAAAAAAAGAATAAATTCATCGCAATGTTAAAAATTTGTATATTATAATAAAATTTTAATATTTAGAACAACGTTAATCAGTGGATATCTGAAATGTTAAAATTCATCCATTCATAATGATTTAATTATCCTTAAATTATGGCTATTTTTGTGAAATTAATTTACATAAATATATTTTTATATATACTTTTTAAATTTTTAAATTAAAATTGTATAATGATAATGAATATAATAATATAATGATGTCATTTAAATATTTGCATATATTGATTTATAATTATATATTATAAATAATAATTATATAATTACATACATATAATTATAATTAATAATATAAATAGTTTTATATATATATATATTTATATATATAAATTGATATTGCTGATATACATAATAATTTCTTTGAAAGAATACTTTTTTTAATTTAATATTTTTGAGCTAAAGAAACTCGTATAGATCGCTTACATGAAAAAGTAGATATAAGATATTTTATGATTTTTACTTTTTCTCGAATTTAATATATATTTGCACCTATATTCATATAGGTGCAAATACATTCATATAATTATATCCATAATTATTTTTTCCTTAATAATAATGAAAATAATATATAAGAAAACCAATTATAACATATTTTTTTTTCTACAAATTGTATTTGTTCGTGCACAAAATTATAATATATAAGAAAAATTCAAAAAAAGATTAACATTTTATTATTGAAAATGAAATAGTTTCTTATTTTTGTATGTTAAATTTGAAACAATTTATAAAAATTTTTTATTACATTAGATTTAGAAAATAAATGAATATAAAATATGAATTTTTACTTCATAAAATATAACCAAAGAAAGAAATTCTTTTTCAATATGTTTATCAATTGTATTGTATATTTTCCCCATAAAGTCGATTTATTATTAAAAAATTTTTTTATCAATATACTTTGAACTATATAATACTTTGAAATTATTCCATTCTTAATCTAATGAAAACAACAAAAACAAAAAAGCAGTGTTTCCTTCGAATTTTCATTCGACTTTATTTTTTTTAACTATTAGATTAATAGAATGAAATTATATATTTATGATTCTTCAAAGTATCAAAATATAATACTTTTCAATAAATTTTTATTCATAACATTAAAAATAGAATAACTTCAAAACGGTATATGTCAACAAAAAAAATCTTATGATGACATCAAATTTGATTCTATAAGGAAAAAATATTTCTATATATATTATTCTATATATATAATATAGTTGACAAAAATATTGAAAAAAATTATTTCAAAGCAAAAATCAATATTTTTTATCCATTAATATGATAGACAATTTTTATAGCTAGATTTTCATTCAGCATATAAAAGCTAAATATTTAAAATTTTTTTCCATTCTCAATATTCTCTTATTTTTCATAATTGTGTTATTATTTTTTCTTATTCATTTTCTATATAAATATATCAAATTTCTAAAAAAAAATATTAATTGCCATTGAATTTCTATTGTTATGGAAAGTATATCTTATATATATAAAATTTATATCAGCATTAATATTAATTTCGAGAAAACTGAAAATCATAGAAATGCTATTATTTTCTTTTAAGATTATATGTATATAACAAAAAACAAAAATTTTCATATTCCATTTTAGAACAAATTCATTTAATTAAAAAATTCCAATTTGAATGACAATTTGTGCATGATGCATATAAATCATAATGAATTATATGTAGGGAAATTTTTTCGATGACAAAAAATTTCTAAAAAAATGTGAAATCAATTTCAAAGATTCAGCATTTTTTAAATATAATTTCGTTTAGTGACAAAATGATAAAACATTAAATTTTAATAATTTAAAATTTTGACTCTCTCTATTATAAATGTTTAATCAACAGAAATCATTAAAATTTTGACTTAATTTTTATTAATGGCATATAATTCTTCAGAATTTTTTATAATTTTTTAGAATTTAAAAAAAGTTTATGCTTTTTAACTATGATAATCTTAAGTTTTTCTAGATAAACTTGATATTATTAAGTTATATAGATATAACGTTTATTTTTATTATATGTGTTTTGATTTATATTATCTTCTAGTTACTATAGTTATTATCTATCTAGTTATTATAAAATGTTAAAAATATTTTGTTTTAATTTAAAATTATTTCAGAATCTTCAACATTATTGTAATAAGTCGCAAATTGTATAAATTGCAAATAATTGTATTCAATTTATTTAATGATGTATATATATATGTGTGTGTGTGTGTATATATATATATGTGTGTGTGTATATATATATATATATGTATATATGTATATATGTATATATCCATATATCATGAAATGTTGTAATTGTATTAATATAATATCTGGTAGTGAAATTTTTATCATAATTTTTTGAATTTTAAACTAATTTAATATGTAATTAAGTTTATAGTTTAATATAATTAAAACATATAGTTTATTTGAGATTATGTATATACCGAAAAAATTTTCAAAAACTTGGTTATAAATATATTTGGTTATGTAATATTTACATTTTCACACATTTTGTTTTTTGAATAATGAATATATAATTGTTTTGTCAAATCTATTTTATAAGTTTATTGCATTCATTTTTAACGTAAAGATCAAATTTGTAGAAAAAAAATGTAAATTACAATTAACTTTTTTCTATATTATTAAAATATATATATATATATATATATATATATATATACAAAAAAATTTATATATTAATTTTATATTTATATATATATAAATTTTAATATATTATATTATATTTTATATATTATTATATTTTATTATATTTAATAAATATAAATTATTCTTTTTTTAATAATATAGAAAATGTTGATATATATATAATATATGTTATAATATATATGTGTATATATATATATATATTTGAGTACATTAGAGAAACACTAAAAATTATAGGTTGTCTTATAATTTTGTCACGAAATATAGATTTTCTCTATAATTTCAATTTTCTAATTCATGTTTAAATTATTTCTAATTATTAAATACTAAAATTATGATTAATGTTGTAATAATAAATACTAAATATATGATTAATGTCAATATTGTTATTCCTTTGATCATTCTAGATCTAAAAAATCTAAATTATCCAATAGTGAAATATAATAATATTAGCTCATTATAGTATATTTTTAATAATAGCCGATTTATGATATTTTATATATCATATTATACATGTTATACATATTCTTACAATAATAAAGTATTTATATAAACAATTGATAAACATTAGTATACTAGTGCATATTTTGTCATATATGTATACATACAAACAATATTCATAGTAATCTTTTTTTATAAATATCTCCAAAAAATTAAGGCCGAGAGATAATAATATATAAAGAAAAGAATATTGGAAGAATCAATTGATAGAATTATTAAAAGAAATCAACAACATATTTAAAAATTATCGAAATCAGTAAGATAACTATGATTCTAAATAATTACTATTTTTTTTCTAATCTCCTTATTAAATATTATATAAATAAATATGTAAATAATATTATTATATTACAATCTTAATTTAAAAAGTATATTTTTTTATATGAATTTTTGCACAAAAATGGCTATAATATTTAAAAAAAAAAATTCAGACACCCATTGATGGATTCCTTTAATGATAAAACTTTCCATTAATATTCCATATCTCTGCTTATTATCTCAAACACTAAATTGTGGCCAATTATCTTATGCAGAAACTTCTTTATAATTCTATAGATGGAATAAATTCTTGATAATTTTTTCTTTCTTTAGACAAACAATTCTTTTTATACATATTTTTTATATATATATTTTTATTTTTTTTATATACTTTTTTATATATTTTTTAATTTTTTTATTCACGATAATCATAATAATAAGCAATAATCAAGAGAATTTCAATAGTTTAAAATATTAATATAATTTTATTATTAATAGTTTAAAATATTAAAGATGAAGATAAAATTCATGTTTAAAGAAAATAAATAATGTGATTCTTAATAATAGAAAGAAAATGAGTTTTAAAATATTACAAAATTAAAAACATTCATATTCAAATTTTAACTTGATATATATAAAATTTAAATATTAAACTTACATGTTAATAAACACATTGTAGAACGAAAAATAGTTTCTGACAAAACAGGCCAGTTAAAGGGACCAAAACGATTCACAATTTTCGGCCATATAATCGCAATGGGAACGTAGAATTGCAATGCATATGTGAGTAAGATACTCAATGAAATGGCAACTTGTATACACTGAGGTAAACTGTAAAAAAATAATAATAATATCTTATGAATATTTAAATAATATTTTCTTCGATTATTTTCTGTCAAAAAACCATAAAATTCTATTCACTTTAACTTTTTATCACAATTATTTCATAAAAAATTATTCAGTAATATTAAATCTATCAAAGCATGCAAATTTTGGCATACAAAGTACAATAGTTTATTAAGTAACTTATTATTATTAAATGCTAACAGAATAAATAAAAAAAAGCACGTTGTTACAATATTACACAAAATATTTTATAAAAGAACATAATACTTCTAAATAATCTATATGATAGAAACCTTGAATGCTTGACGATGATTTTTCCATCCATCCTTTGTATGCAACAGAAAATTACATAATAAAATATTTCTGTAATAAAATATGTATTTTCTTTTTCATTTTGCTATTTTTCTATCATTTTGCATGATAGAATTTTAATTATTCTTAATGTAGTGCATATTTAAATGTATCATAATTTATTACTAAATCAATATAAAACAAATATATTTCTTACAATAATTATTTTTATATTTAATTATTATATAATTAAATATTATTATTAATTATTACATTTTATAAATATTATATTATATTATATTATATATATCATTTTCTGTTGTAATTTTTTATAGTATAATAATATATATAAAATATGAAAAAGTAATATTTCATTTATCTTAAGAAAAATATCTCGATATAAAAAATATTTCGATTATTCAAGAAAAAGAATTAATTTCTTACAAAGAATATATTTTATCTTTGCTATCAGAAATAATTTATTTCTTTTAAAAAATATTAGAACGTTTGTGAAAACTCTATTTTGTTAAAAAAAAAGATCACATTTAAATTTCTGTAATGAAAATTAATATATTATATATGTATATTTGTTATCATTAAATCAAAATCAAATTCTAATTACGTTAGATTTCATTGATTCATTCAAATTCAAATTGTTCAACTTTAATTTATGTCATTAAAAAACAAAATAAACTATTGTTTAAAAATTATTTATATATATATAATATGTTTTCATAATAAATGATAAATATGTTTTTTTTTTATACAATTATCCGAATGTATTCCTTCCACTTTAATAAATAATATAATAAATAATAATATAAGTGATTATAATATATATTTAATAATATTTAATAAATAATAATATAAGTGAAACTATAAATGAAAAATCATTGCAATATATTAATTTTCATGGTAAAAGATAATAACATGCCTTTCATACGAAATCATACAAATATCATACAAATATGCTTTTCTTTACTAAAAAAAAATGAAATATTTTATATAGAACTTAATGGAATTTAATATTTTAAATCATATTGAAAAGTTGAATCAAAATAAATTATATAGTATCAAATTATATAGTACAAAATAAATAAATATAAATAAAAGGAATTTTTCTATCTCCTGATTCTTATTTTAATAAAAAACTTATAATTAGTTTTTATAAAATTTTATAATATAAAATTCATCAATAAAAAAAGAAAATAAATTTTATAATATTAAATATACTATTGACAAATTATAATTTAAAAAATAATTAATATAAATAATATATACTAATATACATAATACATACTGAAATAAGAGATTTTTAACTTTATATAATAATGAGATTTTGATTTACAAAAGTAAATTCTATACTTACACTTCCTTAGATTCAAGGTTTAATGTTACGGATCCAGCTACTACATCACCATATTTTAAATAAGATATAAAACCCATCGCGACGAACATTCCACCGACAATCACCATTCCAACATTTAAAACTCCGAGTGGTTTACTGAAATTGCTCGGTTTCTTCATTTCATTTTTCAGAGGTAAAACCTGAAATATAAAAAAGATCTATTAATAAAAAATAATTGATATTATATTAAAAGAATATTAAATCAATATCAAGAATTAAATTTCAACATATTTTATTAATTTTTAATTAAAATATGAAAATATTATACTTTTATAAAATATTTTATTGAAAAATATATGTATATAATTTACATTACATTAAGAAAAAAAATTGATTAATTTTTGAAAAATTTTAAAAGATAATGTATAAAATACTTTATATATATAGAAGCTTATAGAATACAACATGTTTATAATGTTTTTATCGAATTAATACTTTATTAAATAATTTATATTTATAATAATAATTTATAATTATTTTTGTTTTTTTATATATTTTTAATGTATTTCATCTTTCGATATTCTGTTAAATAAATTTAAACAAAAAGTAAGATATAAATATAATAGATTATTTTTTATTTATTTCAATACTAATTTCTTCTTAAAAAATGATATCTTTATATTTACCAATTCTAAATATTTTTTAATTGCAACAATTAATATCAAATTTTGTATTTGTTGATTTTATATATAAATGCGACTCATATCTTATGTATTTATGTGTGAATTAAGTGTCACTGAACGCGATCGTTGTTTCGATTGTTTTGCTGTTTCCTTTTTTGAATCGTGTGACGCGACATAGTGAGCTCAGTACAGTAAAACAAAGACATCGGCACGAGTCATTTATATTATATTATATTATATATATATTATATTATATTATTTTTATTATATATATATTATATTATATTATATATATATTATATAGTTTATTTCTATTTCCTTTTTTAAATATATTCTTTCTTACTATTATTTTTGGTCAAATCATTTCACAATTTATTCCCTAATAGGTTATGGGCTTATTGTCTTCCGTTATTTTGTAGTGAGTGACTTGATACTGAAGAGATGCTATAAAGTTTTGTAATTCAATATGAAAATTTTGTATCTGTTAAAAATTAAAATTAAAAATAAAATAAAAGTAGTTGAAGCAAAACTGTATCATTTTCATAATTTCAATGGACAAAACTATCAGCTATGAAAACAATAAATGCAAATTTACATGATGGAGAATAAAATGTATATGAAAATGTATATCGATAGTTCGACTTTCAGACCTGAAAATAAGCAGATACTGTGGATCGTGGATTCAAAAAGATGCTGAAGCTCAAGCATTTTTGATAAGAAATTTTAATTAAGACATTTATCAGATGTTCTACTGTTGCACAAATGTGAATTGCACAATTGCAAATCATACGTTCAGAAAAATGATCAATCAGTGCAAGTACTTTTGGATCAATTTATAAATGCAAAAATGGATCTGAAAGAATCCATCGCATTTTGAAAATAATTTCGCTGGCATAAGGATTGGAAAACATAAATATGGAATAAAAAGAAAAAGATTCTATTATTATTGCAAAAATTTTTTTTATCAAGTTTAAGAACAAAATATGATAATGTTTGCACAGCCTGGTATGCTATATTACAAACGGAACAGACAATTGAGTCATTAACAGATTACTTAATAAATGAAGAAATGTTATTAAAAATACGAAATATACAAATATCCTGAGAAGAATATTATATTGATTCTACTATGAGAGGACATAAAAAAAACCATATTCGCTGTGATCTTTGTATTTCCCCTAATTCTCGTGATTCTTGTGGTCTTGATACAAATATAAAAAAAAAATAATAAATCTCATTTCTGCAGAAAATCCGGACATTGGGCTCGTGATATTGGGCTTGTACATTGAAAAAGTCACATACGAAAGGACAATCCTTGGTAGCTCAATGAAAAAGAAAATAAAAATAAAAAACATCCTGATTCAGCTGAATTATTTAATTAGAGGATGTTCCACAAAAAGATAAAGATACATGGTTTTCCGATTCGGATACGACAGAATACATGTTTTTGAAACACATGTTGTTGAAAAGAATGGTTCAAAAACTTGAAAATATACATAGAAAATACATACATGTGGGCGATATATTATGTATTAAAGGCAAAAAAGACATCAATGTAAAGTGATAAGATAAATGTTAACGGAATGTATACGTGTTACACAATCAGTGAAGTATATTATACTGTAGTATATTATACTGCAATTAAAGAAGAATTTGTTGTCAATCAAATATGCTTCAGAAAAAGGAATGAGAATTATTTTTGAAGATGATGAAATATAAATATATAAAATGTATATACATTTTATATAAATATATGTATATAATATGTATATAAATATATGTATATAAATATATGTATATAAAATGTATATTTCTATAAGAACAATAAATTAATTATTAAGGCAAATAATCTTAATAACAAATTATATAAATTAAATTTTACGTTGATACTGAATATGCTGGTAACAGAAGCAAATATGTTAATGAGTATTATACCGGAATAGTGGCATGAAAGATTAGGACACGTAAATTTTAAAACATTGCGACATATGGTAATAAATTCAAATGTGCATGATTTGAAAATCAATAGTGTAATAGATAGTAATAGGTAGTAGTAGTAATAGAAAGTGATATTTATTGTGAAGAATGTATATATGCAGTATCGAAGAACTTTTTCGAAAGAATAATCTGCAAGGATTAAGCATACAGAAATATTTCATGTCGATCTATGCCAACCATTTATTGAAAAATCGTATTAAAGATTATTGGGATGAATCGTATTAAGGATATTATTAAAGGATGAATATTTAAAATATTGTTATGTTTATTTCTTGAAAAAGAAAATAGAAGTTCTCAATTATTTGTAACAGTTTTATAAAATATAAATGAATGAACATAAAAATACTGAGAACTAATTGTGGCAAAAAATTTTGTAATAGAAAGGTCAAAAATTATTTATTTTCAAAAAACAACATTAAATAACAAACAATGACGTGTGGAACAAAACAGATTTATCGAAAGATAAAATAGAACAATTATTAAATCAGTAGAATTCAAAATATTGAATCAAAAGTATATATTGCAAAGAAATCATTGCTATATTTATGGGCTGTGGCGATAGCTATAGCTATTTACATTAAAATTGGACAATTACGGAAATCTTGGAAGAATCAATACCGTATGAAAAATGATATGGCGAAAAGGCATCTGTAGCTCATTTACAAATTTTCGGAAAAAATTATTATGCTTATATATCGAAAGATCAAAGGAATAAATAGGAGATAAATTCAAAAAAATATTTGATAATAGATTATAGCGAAGAAAATAAGACTTATTGTTTTTATTTGATCTTATTGCGAAGAAATGTTACATTCGAAAATATTATTTTCAACGAAAAACTTAGCTGAGCCTATAGAGATAATTGAGTTCATTGATATCAAGACAAATAAAATAAATATGAAAGCGAATAAAATCGATAAGAATGAATTGATATAGCTATTAAAGAAAACGAAAAATCTTCGACACCTGATTCAACGAGATCTTTATCTGTTTCATGGAAGATATTCAATGTCAATAGAAGCCCATTTTAAAATGGCTGAAACATTTTTTGCTGCTTATGACAAACTATTCAAAAAGCATTAGAAACAGAAGATTTGAATAAATGGATAGAAGCAATCAACGAAGAATCTCTTGAAGAAAATAAAACATGGGTTTTAGTTCCAAGACTAAGTAATATTAATATTATTTTAAATCGCTGGATTTTCAAAAAAAACGAATGAGACAATTTATAATTATAAAGCCAATCTTGTAAGAGGCTATGTACAAAAAGATGGCATTGATTCAAAGAAACGTTCTCTCCGTCGTGAAATATGAATACTAATATCGGTTGCTATTATAATGAATCTGGAATTGATACAACTCGACGTGAAGACGTGTATTTCTGTATAGTGATTTAAAAGACTTATTTACATGGAACAATCAACTTGTTTTAAATTAGATGATGTGTGTGTTTGTCACAAAAAGTTTGTATGGATTAAAATAAGCATCAAGGCAATGGAATAAAAGAATCAATAAATTTATATATGAATATAGTTTGATTTTTTAGAAATAATATTATATGTATATATTATTTGATTTCAGAAACGTTAATTACATATGTATGTTGATGATGATAATTTGTAATAGTTGTTTAAAAATGAATGATTTATTTTTTAATCTCAATCGAGTGTTCAAAATAAAATATTCGGAGGCTGAATATTTTGTTGGAATGCAAATATAAAGAAATTTCAAAAATCTTATGCAAAAAAAATATTAAATAAATTTAATCATATAGACTGTTTTTCAATTGCAATGCCTGCTGATCCTAATGTTAAATTGAGTTCACTAAAATTACTGATAAAACAAAAAGAATGTTGGATATAACTATGGTATATTAATGTTTTTAATGGTGACTGTAAGATCTGATCTGTCATTCATTGTAAGCGTATTAAGTCAATTTATAGAAGTAGAAATCATTGGAATGGAGTTAATGAACGAATATTTAAATATTTAAAAGGAATGATAAATTACAGTTTAGTTTACGTCAAAATATTCAATTTTAATAGTATATTGTGACTTTGAGCAAACGACATAGATACTAGAAAGAGCACTACTGAATGGATTTGTCAGGATTTGTTTTGAACGGTGTTTCTGTAGTATGATTGTCACGTAGTATGATTGCTACTTCAGCAATTGAGACAGAATTTATAGCTTTGTATTCGGTAATGAAAGAAGTTACATAGTTAGATAGAACAAATTCTTGTAGAATTAAATTTTAAAATTTTAAAATTTGCCAACGCCGATTTATTGTGATAATCAAGTTACAATTATTTTAATAAAGAATTCAGAATTGTGTCTAAGCATATAGATACATAGTTTTATTTGCGAAAAATATAGAAAGGAGAAATAGATGTTCAATATGTTAAAACTGATAAATAATTAACCGATCCCTTTACGAAAATATTCCTGAAGCAAAAATTTCAAAGTTTATCTTTTTATCTCAGAATGGTATTAAAAATATAAATGTTTTGACATGACTGTATAATTTTATAAAGATATTCGTCGAGTGGAAATATGAGTTTATATATGTAAAGATGCGAGTCATATATTTTGTATTATATATATATTGTGTATTATGTGTGAATTAGGTGTCACTGGACGCGATTGCTGTTTTGATTTTGTTTTGTCTGTTTCCATTTTTGAACTACTATGCGACGCGACATAATGAGCTCAGCATAATAGAACAAAGATATCAATACGATCCACATCTATATAATATAGTTTATTCCTCTTTTCTTTATTAAATATTTTTTTTTATTGTTACTTTTGATTAAGTCATTTTACAACTTACTGTTTAATAGTATTCAACATTTAACAAGAATATAAAATAAATAATTCGAATTCAAATTTGCCACAAAAATTTATTTTTTATTGTAAGGAAATTCATCATCAATTATTAAAAATTTGATATATAAATTTTCTAATAATTTAATAAACTTATAAAAATATATATAACTTATATAAATATATAATAAAAATTTGATATATAATTTTCTAATAATTTAATAAACTTATAAGTATTCTACAATTGACTTTTTTTTAATCTCTCTTCGCAAAAAATATATATTATAGAAGATAATTCATAATTCATAATTCATTAATCTAAATTACTTCAAAATGAGCATAGCATTTTTTAAGTTTATTTTTTAATAGAAAGGGCAACAATATAAATGAAACGATTTGTTGTCAAATTTATAACGCGTTATATAAATATATATAATACATAAAGGCAGCTTACCAAAGTGATACCCTCGAAAGAATATATCACAGTGCCAAAAAACAAAGGCAAATCATGCCAATCGGCGATGTATCGCCTCTCATGAATCGATGGTAGATCGTTGCACATTATGTACATAGTGGCGACATAGCCAGCTATAACCAGAAAATTCGCCATCGAAGAGACAGGCACTAGGTATTTTAGATTTCTGATCCATGTGCTCAGCATTATAGGAATCAGGATGACAGCCATGTGTTGGTGAACATCCATCTCAATTCCGTATACGTCCATCACCTATAAAAAAAAATTAGTTTAACAAAAGTTAAATGCAATATACTAAATATAATAAATAGATTTATTAATAGAAATATTACATTTTTAATTCGCTCTTTTACTCTAGTGAATTTCATCGATATATAAATTAAAAATGCATATATTTTAAAATGAATTACAAAACAAAAACAAATATGCAAAAGTAAATATAAAATAAAATTTTCTTCTTTTAAGATTTTATTTTTATGGAAATCGAAATATTAATCCAAAATATATATATCAATATTGTCAAGAACTTGTATTAACGTTAGAGTACAAATTAATTGATTTATATATGTATACACATATGTATATATATGTATATTTGAAGAAATTTCAAACTAGATTTTTTTGAAAATAAAGTTTTATACAAAAAAATTTCTTTTTTTTTCAACTAATTTTTATATATAGTATATTTTATAGTATATAGTGTATTGTATATTTTGAATAATAAAGTAAGTTAATTTACTTTAAAGTTTATTTTAAAAATTTATAATTAGAGTGTTCAATATTTAAATGATTAAAACTTTGAATTTAATTTCTCAATAAAAATTATAAAAGCAAAATTAAACATTGAAAACTTACCAGTTTCATATTCTTCGCAATGAAAACAAAATATACACAGCAAAATCCAAGTTGTGTGATACATAAAAATATATTAACCAATTTTCTGAAACAAAGTAACATAAGATGATATAATCATATAGAAATAATCATATATAATCATAAAGAAAAACGAGAGAGGTGAGAATAAGACACGTTAAAATTAAATTTTTTTAAATTTAAAGAAAATGAAAAATTTAAAAATATTAAAAATTTAAAATAAAATATTCAATTTATTATTGAATAACTGATTCGAAATAAGAATTTAATTTAGTATCAGAACACGTTTTTCTTATTATACATATATCTACCTCATAAACACAGAGTATTTTCGAAGTGAAAGAGGACCAGTAGCGAAGCACAATTCTACCGTACCAGCAAATCCAGTCGTAGCATTTGGATCATTAATACGACGCGTCACTTCTTCGTTGCATTTAATCTATAATACATACGATAATATTTAAATATTAAACAAAAATTTTATTATATTATATTATGATAAAATAATAAATATAGAATACAATAAATTTATGATAATATAATATATTAAAATTATAATGTTATATAATATAATATATAATAAAATAATTGATGAAATTATTAAAAAAGCATAATAATTGATCTGAAACTTTAAAAAAAATATAAAGTTATAGTTCTCATATTTTTCTATAAAATATTATTACCAGCATATTCTATGAATAAAAGTAAAAAAATATATAAATATAAATTTATAAATGCTTAAAAATTAAAAAATTATAATAAAAATACAAAATAATAATAAAATTTTTTGTTTACTATTATATAGCAAAAGATTATTAGTCTAATATTATAAATTATTAATTTTAATACAAATTATATTATTTATCAACAATCTCAAGTAAATATAAAATATATATATATTGACAATATATTTCTATCCAGCATTGACAAAAACTCAATTCATTGTTATTTCGTTTTTTTTTTATTGTATTCTATATTTTCATTGTATTTTATATTTAATTTTATTTTTTCTAATATTTTCCTTGTATATTTATTTCTCAAAATATGCTACCATAGTTTTTCGAAAATAAAATATCAAAAAAATAGACACGAAAATAAGACATTCTATACATACACATAAATATTGTATATTTAATTCAAAGAGATTAGAAAATTATGATTTATATGATTTTGTTATTTTTTTTGTTGTTATTTTATTATTGTAATATTTGTTTTTTAAATTTTTTATTTTTTATATTTAATTGTCAAAATTTTATAAAATAAATAAATATTTAAGAAATAATTTTTTTTGTTAATATATTAATTTTGTATTTAATTATATACATATATATTTAATTATATACATATATATTAGAAAATTATTATTAAAAATTATATATGAAATATAAAGAATGCGCAGTTACTTATTAAATATTCACTTATTAAGCATATCTAAAATATGAATTATACATACAAGAATATGTTGAGCATGAACACAAATAACCCCGAGAAACATGGTAAGTGGAGGAGCTAGCAGTAATCCAGCATGCTTGAATGCATCCCCTAATGCAAAGATTCCCGAACCGACATTACCTTTGAATAGGTGCATCATTGTTTCTAAATACCTGTAATTATTCATTCAATATAAATAACTTTTTATATTTAATAACTTTTTATAAATATTTACAATAATTTAAGCCAAAAATATTTCAACAATTAAAATAATAATTTTATACGATTTTATTGCGATTAATATAAAAATATTCGTTGATTTTTAACTTATTAAAATTTAATTATAAACAACAAATAAGAATTTTTTAAGGATTGCTTTCTAATCGATGTCTTTATATTTTTTGATGATTCAATTTTAAAAAAGATTTTAATAAAATATTTGGTAAAAATTTATAGGAAATATTTTTATCTAATTTAATACTTTAGAGAAATATTATTATTATTATTATTTAATTTTTAGAGAAATATTAAAGATATTATATATATATGTTATATTATTAATGATTTAAAATTTAAAAATTAAAAAAATAATTTAATAATTTTCACTACTTTTAATTTTTATTTGATAGAATTCTTATAGCTATAACAATAATTTTTATCAAAATACTTAACTTACTTACTTAACTTACTTATGTTTAATATATTTGTATCATTTCATATTCAAATTAGATTTAAATAAAAATTAATAAGAAATTTTTGTAAAAAAGAATTTTTTATTAATTTAGAAACAAATATTTAATAAGTTAGATATATATATAATATTTTATAATATAGAAATAAATATAATATAAAAATTATTTATAAACATATAAAATTATTTGCAAACATACAAAATAAAATAATAAATAAATAACAAATAACAAATAAAAATAAATTGAAAAAAAATTCGATCTTTAATGAACGTTAATAGCTTCAAAAATTAATATTAATATAAAATTTCTTAAATATTTTTTATATATTATCACTCAATCTACTTTAAAATCAAATGATCCAATCAACTAAAGTTGAAAATCTATATTATTATTAAATCTATACAGGCTTTTTGCTTTTTTTGTAATTAATTATTTACAATTCATAGACAAATATCATTCATTTAAAAAGAACATAATTATTATTCGAATAAGTGAAATAAAAAAAAAAAATAAAAAATTACAAATTAAAATAAAATTGAATAGTATTTTTTTGACACATAAATATTTAATGTCTCACTAGTTAAAAATAATTTCTTCCATTTTCTAACGCTTTATTCTAAGAGAATAAGATTCTCTATAGAATATTGAAAAATAATTTTAAATAAATCCAATTGCATAAAATTCAATAACAAGTTACATTTGATAATAAATTTAATATTTTTTATGATATTTATTTATCAACTTTATTTTTTTAAATTATATATCACAGTTGAATAAAAATTTAATCAATAATTAAATAATAATATCGTACTTCAATCATTATTAATATTAATAATTAATAATTAAATTTTTAATTTAATTGTGTAACGATTTATAATAGTGATAAAATTTATTATCAAATTATTATTATATAAGTACTTTATAAATACTTTATCATTATTAAAATATCTTTTAATAATAATAAATATCTTTAATTGCGATTTAATTACTAATATATAATACTTAATTATTAATATAATTAACTATTTTAACTATCAATTCGATAACTGATTTCGATAAAGGTTAATAATTAAATTCTTTTTGCAATAATTAATATTTATTTTATATGATTCTTATTGAAGCGTTTTTATTTTAATATTACTTATTTTCCAAAATCAAGTTGTTGATAAAAAATCAAAAAATGATTCGAAATCATTAATCAATTATAAATTGATTATAATTACTATAATCATTATAACAATTATAATTATAAATCATTAATTAATAAAATCAATTAAATTTAATGTTTAATGTTTATTTAATAATATTTAATGAATAAAGTATAAAAAAAAATTTATTTTAACTTTCATTTGAAATTCTTAAACATAATTGCAAAAAAATATTTCACACAATTTTTGAAACATATAATTATATAACCAAAAATACTATTAATATGATAATAGAGATTCTCTAAAAAGTTAAATGTAGAAATTACGCCGATTAATGAGAACTTATGCCAATATTTATTTCGAGATTCGGTTTTGGCTTTTGTAGTTTATAGAAAAATTTAAGTTTGATGTGCTTCTTTAATCATCGTCATAGATATTATTATGTAGATACATAGATTCAAGTTAAATATGTTTTACAAAATCTTAAGTATTATCAATAAAATGATAATAAAAATAAATAAAGTTTTTTTCTATTCGTCATTTATTTAATTATAAATTATTTTATCATGATTTGCATTAATATGCTCATAAATTTAGAAAATTATTTTTCTACATCATACATGAACTACTATATGTATGATATATATTAATATCATCTCAGAAAAAACGTGTAACAAATTTATGCCAATAATAACACTATAATTAAAGAAATGAATTGAATTTTATTCAATTCATAACACAAGATAGAAAAAAAAGACATTAAATATTACACAATATTAATAATTAAGAATTTAATATCGTATAACAATATATGAAGATGAAGAATTTATAAATATTTTTATTATATTATTTTTATTATTATATTATATTATATTATTATTATTATTATATTTATATTATTTAATAAATATTCTTTAAAAAATATAATTAGAGTTACCTAAAAGAAACTTTTAAAAATTTAGAGCTTAAAAATTCTAAAATCTAAAATTCTAAAATCTAAAAGAAGAATTGAATTAAAAATTTTGAATAATTTTATATATAAAATTTTATATACATAAAAAAATAAAAATATTAACAAAGAAAAAAGTTAGAGATATAATAATACAAAAATTATTCTTTTATCTTTATCTTAAAATTTATTTATAATTATTTATTTTAGAATAGTAAAAAAATATTACAAACTAGAAATATTTATTTATATAAGTACATCAAAATTAAAATAAGGATTGATATAATCGAATAATAAGATACAATCAAAATACAAGCAAAATGAAATGATATATAATGTATACATTATGTTCATTCATTTTAAATATATACGTATATTGCATATCTATTAGAATGTATTGGAATTATTTCTTTTTTTTTCAGTTGTTGTATTTTTCATGTGTAATAATTATTTGTTAGCATAATTCTAAAATATATTTTCAATCGGAATGTAATAAACTATTTTTACAAACTTTCACAAAAAAAAATCGCACAATCAAAAAACTGATTTCGATGGCATAATATGTTCCATCTAGAAAAATTAATTACGGACGACATGTACATTTTGAAAGTTAATAACTTAACAAGTTAAGAAAAATATATGCATAAGTAATATTTTGAAGATGCTTCAATATAAATATAAAATATATAATTAAAATAATTATAAAAATAGTATAATATTAATTTTTGAAATATTTTTTCGTATTTATAATAGAAATAATGACATGTGTGTGTGTGTGTGTGTGTGTGTATGTGTGTGTGTGTATTTACATATATATATTATATATATTTCAAACATATTGTATAACATATAATTTTTTTTTTACATATACATATTTAACATATAATTGTTACAATGATGTCCTTGACATGAAATTCTTTATCTGTATTATTTAAATATCCTTCAATGAATAGAATTGTACCTGATCTTCGGCGAAATACATTCATTTATTGAAAATAGATATAAAATATAATCTGAAATTTTCACTTTAATTATTCATATTATCATATTACAGAAAATATATTTCTAATATGTTATAAATCAATTTAGATGTTTATAAGAAAAAATTTTATTAATTTTTAAATTATTCTGTTTCTCTTTGGAAGAAAAATTTTAATCCTAAAGTTTCTTTACATTTATATAGATTTCTTATTATTTATTAAAATAATTTCATAAATATTATGGAAAATGATAATTATTCTATAAATTATTTCCTTCTTGTTACATTTCTTGTAACATTCCTCATTATATCTTAAGTGTATAGTAAAATAATAGAATAATAATAATAGAATAATAATATGAAAATGTAAAAATAAACTTCTTAATAGAATTCTTGAATATGAGGAACAAAAGAATATATTGTTATTCAAATTTTCTAATCATAAAAATGATCCATTTAATTATTATTTAATTTTATTCTTATAACAAAAATCACTGATATAATATTCTGTCTAACAAAAATGTTTCTTATAAAAATGAAATTAAATAATTAAAAAAAAATATAAAACATTATTTCATAAATTTTTTAATAATATTTTTAATAACATATAATCATTGATTTAAAAAAAAATTATATTTAAAATTACTTTAACAAAAGAAAACTACGAAATAAATTTATTTTAATATTTTTAAATATTATTAATAAATTTTATTAATAAATTTTAATAATAAATTTTAATAATTTTTAAATTTAAAATATGAAAATATCTATCCATTTTTATTAATTCTATATTTATTAATAATTTTATATAATTATTTAAATTTTTATTTATCATTTAAAAAATAAAATTAATAAAGTAATTTTTATTAGAAAATAATTAATCTAAAAATAATTATATGATTTTAAATTTATGATGTTTCATATATAGAGAATTTAGAATTTTACGCTTAATAGATAATTCGCTTTTTTAATAAATAAGAATGTATTTATAGTAACAAAAAGTGATTACAATCTCTAATATGTGAATCTATCTTAAACTGTAAATAGCATATTCAAGATGTGAATATAAAACTTATTTTTTTCTTTAACTTAAATTATCAAAGAAATTTTAATAAATTTTCCTAATTTGTAATTTATTTACAAAAATCAATAAAATTAGTATATTTGTAAAAAGATTAACGAAATAAAAATAAAAGATAAGTAAACTTACGAGGTTGGATGATGAACAGAAATTCCATGTTCACTTCTACCTTCTATTTCGGAAGCCTTTTCCATTGCCAAAATAGGATCTTTTGATTGAAAGGCACCATATGTACTGCCATTTCTAAAATAATAAATAATAATTATATTATAGAAGTATTTAATTTAATATTAATACGATTTTATAACTTCTTAATTATTCAATTTTTAAATTTCATATAATTAATTTTATATAATAATCATATGAATTTTATATATTCAATTATTTTTATATTTTCTAAAAGTAACGAATTTATTAATTTTTTTGATACTTAAGATTTCTAATATTATATATAAAATATATATTTGATTGATAAATCCTATATAATATTTAATTATTTTTTACATAATTCTATCAACAATTTCGCATATTTTAATGTCAATGATATTATATTTGACTTATATTTTTTTTATTTTAGATATTATATTTTTATATTTAAAAAAAAATTCTGTACTTTTAAATAAAAAATTTATTAAATTTTACTGAAATAAAATAATTTTAATTATTTTCATTAAGTAGATATTTTTTATTAATATTAATAATCTTTTCTTATCATTTTTAAATTAGTAATTATTATTAACATTGAATTTCGAGTTTTTATATTGGCATTTTTTAGTTAATTTTTAAACAAAATATTCTTCATTTGATTATATTACATATTGTATGCTTTATGACATTATGGACATTAAGAAATAATTTTTTGTTATAATTTTGGTATAATTTTTATTAAAAAAAAATTTTTTATCACATTCACAATTGATTTTCTATATTATATATACATTAAATGATGATATATATTATAAAATTAAGAATTTTTTTCCTGCAAGATATATCACAAAAATAATAATCGTGAAATAAATTTTCCATTCATAAAAACAAGTATGAAGATTTATATAAAGAGTTCAAATAAATATAAGTGCCAATAAAAACTCTAATTATCGAATGTTTCTTTGTTGCAAAAATGCGAGATTGGACATAACAAATTTAATTATTAATTATAGTGTCAATGAATCTATTTCTATATATAAAGTTATATAAAAGTTACATTTAACTTTTTCCATGAATAACAAACTTTTTTTAATGAGATTTTATTTATATATATTGTTTTATGATTAACAATATATATAAATATATATAAATAGTACAAGCTTTACTCTATCAAATACACTTATTAACTTTATTATTAACACTTATTTACTTTCGATCATAAACGAAATTGAATACATAAATAAATTTATAATTTAATACATAATAAATTGCATCCAAAATAATTACTCAAATTATTCAATAATTTTTCAATGAAATCAAAATAAAATAGATTACAAGCACATAATTTTTAAATATTTAATTTATCAATTAAAAATCTAATCTAATCTAAATCTAAATTGATAATTCTTAAGTGAAAAAGATTAAGAAATAAAATATTTTATATTAACTTTTTTTGTTAATTTTAATGTTATAGTATTTATAAGAGTTATTAATTATTAATACAAAAAATTACAATCTATAAGAATTTGAAAAATTGAACAAATTTAAAAATATATAAAAATATAGAAGAATATAAATAAAGTTTGTAATATTTAAAATATGCAACTAATATTATTAATATCAAATATCAAATTATTATTATCAAATATTTTCATGAAAAATAAACAATTAAAATATGTTTCATCTAAAAAAATATAGTGATAATTATATATAATAATAACATAAAATATCTTGATCTTATAAAGAATATCTTATAAAGAATAAGTGAAACATATTTAATTTTAAATAACTTATATTTTAATTAACTTATATGCAATATTTAATATTTTAAGATACAATTTTAAGATAAATTTCATCTAATTTAAAAAGACAAATTTTAAGATAAATTTTATCTAATTTTTTTCAAACAAATTTTTAATAATCCAAATAAATATTTTATTTTTCTTCTGAAACAAATTCCATTAAATTAGTGACATGAACAATATCGAATTTATTTATAATTCGTTTTCGAAGTGTATTATTATATATAGTTATATATATAATATATTATATTATATAGTTAATTTTTATTTTAAAATATAAGTAACAATAAGTAACATACAAGTAACATACAAGCAATAAAATAATTACAATTAAATTCGTTATATTGAACTTTATATTTATCCATTAGATATATCTAAAAAATAAAAATTTTTCCAAATTTTTGAGAAATTTAAAATTTATTTAAAAAAGAAAACGAAATAATTTTTTTAGTCAACACTAATTATTGATGTTTTTTATATTATTTTTTACTTCTCAAAAAGATAAGTTAAAGAATATTATTTTAATTGTATTGTTCTTATACAAAAATATAATACATAATTATATTTTTTTTCGAATAATGTGAATACAAAAATTTTTTAAAACTAGAATTATTTTTAAAAAATTGTTTGATTTTAAATTTAAAAAATTTAAAAAATTAAAAAAAATTTTTTAAAAATTAAAATATATTTTAAAAAATAATTATAAATAAATTAATAAATAAATTATAAATAAGATTCTTAATCAAGAGAAGAACAATTTCTGAAGAAGAATAACTGAAGAAAAAAAAAATAAATAACTATTGGTTTTTATATCGTTGAATAAGTAAATGATTAACAATGAATTAATACAAAATATTTAATAAATATTATATTACGGAAGTGATATTATTGTACAATATAAATGAAATGTTTATTTACAATAATAATAAATGAATATTATTAAGAATAAAAAAATAATAGTAGATATTAAGCAATTGTATGTAATAATTACGTATTCAACTTTTATTTATATTCCAATAATAATAGATTATCATAAATAGCAACACAAATTATTAAAGCTATTTTAAAATTAAAAAAATTTTTTTAAATTTGAAATTTTATAATTTGATGTTAAAACGAAGAAATATTATTAAATGTCAACTAGCTACATCATTTTTGACTCTAATCTTACCATTGAAATAAAAACATGTAAATATGTAATACTGCTACAATAGTTTCATAATTTACCTGTTCAGTTAATCAATTCATTTTATTAATTATTTTAAAAAATAGGATATGGGGAAAAGATATATAAATGTAAATTTAGATATGTTTAACTTTTTATCTCATAATACTTACACTGTGAATTAAAAGTCAAATTAGAAATGAAATAAAAATTAAATTTATAGATTATTTAATAATAAATTTAAATTTAACAGATTATTTAATAAGAAAAAATATAATATATTACAATATAATAATATTATTATAATTATTATAATTAAATATTGTATTATAACTATATATTATTATATTCATAATATTAATAATATATTAATAATTTATATATATATATATATATATATATTATTTATAGTATAATTCACTTAAAAAAATGTGAATTTAAAATTCATGAAACAGTAATAAAATCGATATGGATATATGATATTTGATTAAAAATAAGTATAATAATGAATTAATCTATTAAGATGTATTAAAAAAATTGAATTTATTTAATAATTTAAATATTATTTTATTATCAAAATATTATCAAAAAAGCACGTTTTTTTCTCTGAAATCATATAAAGTAATGAATGATACGATAAGTGATTGCCCGCTACATTAATATTCAAAAACAAATTCAAATTGAAGAGCAAGTGAATAATATTAATCTTAAATGATGGACTGTGTTGCATCAAAGATTATTATCGAAAGACCATTCTTTATGAGTATCCATATAAAATCGATTGTCATTGCAAAGATAAATTTTATTCAATGTAAAATATATAAAATATTTAAATAACCGAAAACAATTTGATAAATAGATTTAGAAGAATTTTGTTTTTAATAATATATTAATCTAGATAATATGATTGCAATTATATAATTATCATCAAATTAATAATCATGCAATCATATTTTAAGTAATAAATGCATTCATAAAGGAAACTACATAAAAGATTATAATAAAATAAAAAATCCAATAACTATCTAATAAATATAAATTTAAATACAAATTAAATACATTTCAATTATATAATAAATTCTGAAAAAACTGAAGAAGAAATATATATTGATCTTATAAAAAATTATATAGTGATTTGAAGTCATTTATATATGTTGTCATTCATATATTATAAAAAATTTATCTAATCTAATAATTTTAATTTTAATGAAAGTTTGCATATGTATAGCATAATAAATTATACATGAAATATTTTTTTATTGATCATAATATATCATATTAAAAAATATTATCGTGAAGAATGAAATCAAACTTTTAAAAAAAAAATTTAGTATTTTTTGTATTTTGAATAAAATTTTGATTAGAAATTTTAGTAATTATTCGAATAGGAATAAACGAATAAAAGGATCTTCACCAATTTCGATAATTTTTAATATATTATGAATAGAAATGAATATTTTGAACAATTTTTTCCTTTGTTTGATATCGCTGTTTAGTCTTAGTTTTCAAGATATTTGTAAAAAAAGATTACTATTATTATATAGAATTTCTCTTATATCTAAATGTTCGCGGTTACATGTGCGTAAACATGTGACCGCCATTTATCCTCTTAAATATTAATGTAAATAAAAACAACAAATAAAAATATATAATGGATTTAAAATTTTTTTGCTCATGAATTATGAGTTAAAATGTTTCAAATCTATTGCTTGAACATGTAGATTCGAAGAAAATATAATAAATATATAAAAATAAAATATAAAACAGTGAAGTGAAACTACTAAGAATGATTATCATTGTAATCAATTGCTTTATATTTTATATTTTGCACCATTAAAAAAAGACATCAAAACTCCGAGCTTTTTTTAACTTCTAAAAAGTGATATTCAATTATTAACAAAATCAAATATAATTTTTTAAATATTGATAAAATTTGATAGTATTTTAGAAATATATATAATTGACATAAAATTTGGAAGAATTGAAAGGAGTAGAAATGGACACTAAATCTAAAATTTTAATTTATTTATTAGTTTCCGAGATATTAATAAAAAATTTTTGATACAATATATTTAAATCTTATATAATTAACACATTGAATATTGTCTACAGATATATTATTAATACAACCGTTTGCGTACTATAGATTGTCGACGCGTCGAGTGTAAAATAGTCGATGACATAATACAGTAACGATATCAGTATGCATAAGGTGTCTCAAGTAAAATTGATTATTGTAACTTCGGTTATCTATATTTTCTTACAATACAATTGTTTCGTTTTAAATTATGTTTTAAATGATATTTTTAAAATCAATTTATTGACAAAATTTCTGAATTTGTTAGAGAATAGATTTTTTCCCTCAAATATCAACAATGCCAGTAATTATTATAAAAAAAATAAATTATTATAAAAAAATTATTATAAAAAAAATAATTATAATTATTTTTTTTATCTATTCTAATTCTAATAATCCAAAAATGTTAGATTTCAATATACCATATTTCAATATGTTTACTATGCAATAAATATTTGGAACTATACTGTAGATATAAAGATAGGAAAATAATTTTCGGATTATATATTTTGCCACCGCTAAGCGGTCGACTATGCTAAAATAGTCATTGCGTATTCGATATTTTATGTGAAATACTCTATAAATGCCTAGGATCATTATCGCTATTACGTCATCGACTATTTAATACTTGACTATGATTGTGTCTACTGTAAAGACATTACGTTTGTATAAGATTGTATGAAGAATATATGTTTTTTATTAATATCTTGGAAATTAATAAAAATTTGAAGCTTAATAATTATTAATAAAAATTTTAAATTTAAAGTCCAATTTTCTTTCTTCTCTTTTAAATTTAATATCAATTAGAATATTATTATATATTTTTCAAAAAAATATCTTAAAATTTCATTTAAAAATGAAAGATAAAATAAATTTTGTATAAATTTAGAATTTTAAAAGATTTAAATTTAAAATTTTTCAAAAATATTTAACTTTTAATGCTTTATTATTTTGTTGTAAAAAATTCCCAGACAAAATTGCATTCGAAAAAAAAAAATGTGAAAAAAAAAATTTTTTAAACGAATTCTACAAATGTTTTAAAGATATTTTTAAATTTCTTATATTTACAATTAAATATTATAAAATAATAATATTAAAAAAAATTATTTTAAAATAAAAATAATCTTTTTTTTATTCTAATTGAGAATAAATTTCTATTGAAAACAATTAAATTTTTTTAAATACTTCTGATTATAACAAACTATGTAACATTTTTCTTGTATCTTTAATATATTGTAGTGTGGAAAAATTGAAAAATATATTTAAATACAATCTAGAAATATGAAACACTTTTTTGCTTCTCGATCATACTAATCTCTTATTTCTTAGATTCCAAAAGTGCATGATTTTTTTTAATCAATCATTCTTTCATCATGATTACACTATCTTAATCATACTTTTGATAGTTTTATACACATGTATTTCTCTGTTTATAAGATTTATGTAAGAACTGAAAGAGAAGTACAAAAAAATATCAAAAGAATCTTTGCTCTAGACTAGTTAACCAAAAAAGAAAAAGAACTACGATGACTCATGAACCACAAATTCTTCTGAAAAGGATCCTAGAAAAAGAATTTAAACAATAATTAAATAAAATCGTAATTTGTTTTTAAACTAAATTTTCAAAAGCGAATTGTTATAGCATTTTTCGTTATTTAAGATAACTATGATTATGCAAATGATCTATATGCAAGGTATTTATTATATTCCAAAGAAAATAACAATTATCTCTAAAAATTTCGAAGCTAATTCTAGTATTCTTATATCTAGATTTTAACATTTTTTTTTGTGTTTATTATATGCAAAATATAGACTTACGTTTCAATTATTTATGCTGCAGTAAAAACTATATTAGCGAAAAATGTCAATAATTTTACAATCTCAATTTATTTTTGCTTCTCTTCTATTAATAATTAATTTTCCTATCTAATTTTATACTTCTTATAATCAAGTCTATTATTAATTTTATTATTAAATTATTAACACATTAATTATATATATAGTATTTAAAAATTTTCAAATTCATTTTTATCGAAAATAAATAATAATAATAACTAAATAATAAATAATAATAATAATCATTAAGTAATATCTCAATTTTTTTTATACAGTATATATTTGTGAGATATCTTTATAAAATCAATTCTAAAGATTGAAGAAAAAAAACACAAAACTAAAAGAATCTATTATTATATTATATAAAAATGTTGATTGAGGCTTATTTATTAAATTATAAACAATTTAGATTTGTATTAAATGAAACAAACAAAAAAAAAATGCAACAGTATAATGGAGACAAAGCGATCTTATTCTATTTCCTTTTTGTTTTATTTAATGTAAATTTCAATTATTTAAAACTTAATAAATAAACCTTAATCGATATTCCTATATACCAACTTTTATATTTTGATTTCTAGTCAAATTAGTTCCATGTTATCTAAAAAATGCATATCTATATATATAGAATTATATATATAGAAATTTTTGCATAATTTTGAAATTTGAAATATTCTTTATATTCATGAAAAAAACAATATTCAAACCAAAAGGAATAAAAATATATATATATATTTGTCAGAAGATAAATAAATAAAAATAAAAAATAATAACTAAAAATAATAATATTAATTTTTTATAGAAATATATATATATATATATAGTTTGTCTATTTGTATAATCATTCAATGTGATCTTTTCTTACTATTTCGAATAATTTCAAATAGTAAAAAAAGATCACATTGAATAATTATACAAATAGACAAACTAATTTTTTTATTTAGTTATAGTGATACTATAGAACAATTTGTGATTACATAAAAATAAAATATAATAAATTATCAAACTGACTCGTGTTAAAAACTATAAACTGCAAATATATGGTTTTATAAATATAAAGAATTAAATATTACATTATTTATGTAACATGATGTATTTAAAAGATGTTTATACATTTATACATTCTAGATAATTTGATATTTGAATAAAATCTGATTAATTATTGTTACACATTATTACAAAACAAATATTTATTTACTCACCTGTGAGGTTCTTTTAGTGTCATCACATCACCACGCAAAGAATTTCTTTTTGCATTGGGATTTTTATGCATTTCCATCTACAAACATAATCAAAAATATCTTATTAATATCTTAAAATATGTAATATGTAATATGTATATGTAATTGTAAAAATTACATTGATCAACTATAATTAACATTTTTACTATGAATTCAAAATCATGAATTCAAAGTTGATTTATTATGTGTAAACATAATACAATTTTTAATTCTAATAAAAAATTAATAAAATAAATTTTACTTATCAAATAATATTTATCAAATAGTATAATATAATTTGAATATAATATAATTTAATAAATAATTATATATTTATAATATTTATAACATATTTAATAATTAAATATAATTTGATAAATAATAATATATTTTATATTTTTATTTTATAATAAATTATTCTAATATTAATTATTATAATAATTATTTTAATTTATTATTATTATGTTTATTTATTATGTAAATTGATATTATGTTTTATTTTAAATATATAATTACAAAATATATATTTTTATATATAAAAATAATTTAACAAATAATTTAATTTATTAAAGAAGAATCAATGTTTTATATGTATCTATATCAAGAAGCGAATTTTAAAATATCATAATATATATTATATAGAATATTAATATTAATTATTAAAATTATTAAAATATATTAAAATTAATATTATAATACTATAATTAATATAATTAATATAATTAATATTATATAATTAAAATTAATATTAATATTATATAGAAAATTCATTAAGTAATTATTAAAAAATACAATGAATATTATATATACTGTGAATAATTATAAATTCATCTATATTTTTACAATTTTCATAAAAAAAAAACATAGATTAAAAAAATTTTATATATGTCTTTAATAATATACACAAGAAAAATTTTTTACGTAAATCTAAAAAAAAGAAGAATATTTTTTGTTTTTTTAAATTCTTTAAAATTGCATTTAAACTATGAAAAGACATAAATTAATATATAATTTTAATATTCTTATTTTTAATAAAGTTTAAAGTTATTTAATAAAGTTTTCTTTATTTTTGATTATTAATGATAAATAAGAATATTAATAATAATTAAATATTTATAATATTTATAATATTTTACAGTAATTAAAAATGTTTAATAATGATTAATTATTTAAACTTTCTTCAATTGTTTCTGTTAAATGAATTTTATTTATTTATAATTTTTGCAGTATTATTAATTTTTAACCATCAAATCTATTTGAATTAAATTTTTTCTTATATCTGATGATAAAATGTCTTCATATGTTTGTTTTTTAATATATTCTTTTAAAATTTTAATCAATAATCTTCAAAAACTTTTTATAATTATTATATTGTAATTATTATAAAATATTATATAATCATATAATATATTGATATTATATAATGTTATATAATATATTAATATATTATAATAATAATAATATTATATCATATTATATTATATAATATATAATAATATATTATATATTTAATATTATATNTTATTATTATTATTATTATTATTATTATTATTATTTTTTATATAATTATTATTTATATTTCGAATTCTTAATAATGGAAATTTCAATTTTTTTATTCTGTTAAAATTTCACGTTTACGAGATAAAAAGACAATTTGTTGATTGTAGTTCACATGTTATCTTCAAACAAACTGATTAAGCTAAGGTCATGCCAAGTTCAATGTAAGATATTGATCAAGCAATACGATTTCCCATGGAAACATGATCGAACATCTGTTCTTCGGCTTCCTTTGGTTTTTTTCCAATACTATTCTTAACTTCGTTAATAAGTTTTATTACAGCAAACAAGCAGTATGTAATTAATGAATAACGTAACTATTTTTATTCTTTGATTCAATTCATTTTTTATGATTTTTTTAAATATAAAAATATTGGATCAAATATTTAATTTTTGTATTATTTAAATAATATTAATATACTTTCCATAATTATGGAGATGAATATTGTAGAAAATTGAAATAATTATCATGAAAAAAGAAAAAGAAAAATTAAATTTTATCTTTATTCAATCATAAGTTCCTTTCTTATAATAAATTTTCTGATTTTGAAAAATATATAAGAAACTTTTGTGACATTAAAAAACATAAATTATTTAATATTTATAATATTTTAATATTCAAAAATTAAAAATAATTGAAATTTAATTTTTCATGAAACTCAAATCAATCATGATCTTGAAATTCTCAAAAATTCAAACTTGGAATATTCAATATTTATTTCCTTGTTTCTTTTTCTAATAAAACTTGTCTATAATATTTCGTAAAAAATTAAAATTTTAATAAATTTTGATTTTTAAAATTCTTTAAAGTTTAAGTTTATAATCAATCAATAATAATCATTCTTTTAATTTTCAAAAAATTAAAATTATTCTAAATACAAACTTAATTAAATTATTATTAAGTAAATAAATTTATAATATAATAACATTTTCATAAATTATTTATGAATGTTATTTATTATAAGAATTTCGAGATTTTAAGATTTTTGAATCATAAAAATAGCAAAAAGTTTCAAAATTTGAAACTTTATAAATTTCAGGGAATTTTTAAATGATTTATTACTATTAATAATAATGAAAATATTTTAATAAAAAAAGATCAATTTTACAATTTTTTTAAGTTTATATAATAAATTATTTTTTAATTTTATTTTCTAAATTGTCTAATTGTTTTTCATTTAGTTTTGAATCTTAAATTAAAACAATATTAAACTTACTAAAATATATATTTTCTCTATTTTATTTGTAATACCGAACTTTTAATTCTAAATTTAATTACATTTAATTTTACCAAAAACTAATTATAAATAAATTAATTTTTTAATTCGCAATATATATATATATATATATATAAAAATATATATATATATATTTAATATTTATATATATATAATATATAATAATATTTATATATATATATAATATTTATATATATATAATATATATATATAGTAAAAACATGTTTCTAAAAGATAAAAAAAGAATTCATAATATAATATTAAAATTGATAAATATAACACAGTTGAGTAATATTATCGCAAAAATTTCATCACAAAATAAACGATCAGGAAATATAGCAATTGCAGAGAGCTAAAGTAAACAGTAAATGGTAATTAACTTATAATTAATTATATAATAACTGTGGGATTAAATTACACTTTGTAGCTTATATATTAAATCATGAATAATCGATACGAAAAGTAGAATCATATATGTAATATATGCCACGTGTTATTAACACGTGCAATAATAAATAAATTTTTCCATTGATTCTCGATGATTCATATGGATGAAATAAATGTGGATGAATAAATTATAAATAGAATTTAGTAGAATTTATAATAGGAGTAACACATGATTAATACTTGACAAATGATTAATTTTTTTATAACTTAATAAATTAAAATAATAAAAATGCAATAATAAATTATAATAAATAATAATAATAATAAATAATAATAAATACTGAATATAATATATTCGTTTGAAAATTCAATGACAAAATTTTAATACTAGAATTACTAATTTACTAATTCATAATATTTAAATATATAACATGTAATAAAAATATAATATAAATATATAATATAAATATTCACATATGATTGTAATTAAAATGATGTCATGAAAATAAATTAGATTATGTAATTATATTTTTATGATTCAAAATATATAATTATATTTCTATCTTAATAAAATATAATATTAATTTTGCCAAAAACATTTTCATGTTCTCAAATAAAACAAAAAATATAAAATTCATTATTTTGATAAGTTGTTTTATTGATAGCATAGTATTATGAGTAATTGAAAAAATAAATACATAAAAATAAAATAATTATTTAGAAAAAATATATATATATGCACAAATAAATGATTTTGATGCGATCTACAAATAAATATAATATTAGTATTTTCTATTTTTCTTAAATACTAAAAATATATAAAAAATATTGTATCAATCTTTGATCTCTTAATTATGACATGATAATCATCGATAAATGATTTACATGCTTCTATTCTCTTATTTGATCAAATTTTCAAATTCAAACATGATTCGCGTATATGTCATGTATATTATATCATATATGTCATACAATAGAAGTGTAATTTCAATCACAAGCAATTTATCTAATAATTAAAATTCACGCGAATGACACAATATGTTTTATATTATTGATCATTCCGATTTTTAAATTTCACAGTTTTCTTAGATATTTATTTAAAAAAAAATATCATAATATTAAAAAAATTGAAAAATAAAATCATATTGTTAATTTACTTTCTTAAACTATTGAGAAATATATAAAATATAAAATATAATATAAAAGTATAAAAAGTATAAGTTATTGCAGATTACAAGAATTTTTAGTTTAACATTTTTATAGTATATTGAAGAACTTGACTGTTTTATAGAAATATGATAATATATAAATAGTAATATAATATTATAATAAATAATAATAGTAAATGAGTTTTTATCATATAATTTTTAAACATGAATAACTGAATAATTATTTGTAAAAACTAATTCTGTTTTTTATTATAATTTGTGTCAAATGCCCATCTGTACTGATAGACATTGCTCAAATAGTCCACATAATTCACTGTTGAATAATAATTGAATAATGTTGTTTGAAAATGCATGTAAATTATATAATATATATCGTGCGTCGATATTTAAATTAATTTAAACAAATTAAGCGAGAATGAAGTAAAATAAGAATTTTAAAACAACTATCATAAATATAAAATTAATGAAATAAATATTGTTTTACAATCAAAATTTTTAAAACTTCTGATATCCGATACAGATATTCACAATGCATATAATATCTATTTCTAATTTTTAAAAACTAATAAATTTTAATTTTAATTTAAATGTCTCATGCATGATGATATAAGATTATTATGAATATAGAATTAATTTTAAGTAGTTTGCTCTAATTTTACATGAATAATGTATGATTATTTGTAAGCAATTGTCTATAAATATTGTACC